ATGATATTGTCTCGATGATACACCGAATAAAGTCTGTAAGCGAACATATACTTTTTCATCTGTACGAATTTTATATATTGCTGTCTCTAAATTAGGCAAGGATACAAGGAGGCCATATTAAATTATTATAATAATATTTCATACAATGATAAAAATTGTATTTTTTTATAATTTAAACTGTTATTTTTAATTTGTATGCACATTTAATAATAATAAATAGTACATTATTTCACAGATAGTTCTATCGGGTGTTTTATGAAGTGCGCAATTTTTGAACATGGAATAAAATAGCGGAAATCATAAAAAGTAACTTTTTTATTTTATTACACTTAAAATGCATATCGATTCAATATTTAAAAATTGTATCCACTATATGTTCATCTCTACTGTTTCTGTAGGCCGTCATTTCCAGGCAAGGCCGCCCGCAGAAATTTTTCTCAGAGGGGGCCAGCCAAAAATAATACACTTACCATAAATTCTGTTTTTTATATCACATCGTAAAAAAAAATTATTTATTTATTTTAATATTGCAAGTGTCACCTTATCAGTTATCAGTCCTCCTTATCGCCCTCCAAGACGCTATATAAAATCCAAATACAGTGAAACCTCGATAACTCGAACTTCTATAAGTCGAATTTTCGATAACTCGAAAGAATGTCTTGGCCCCTGCTTTATAACATATCATATGTGTAACCTCTGTAAGTCGAATTACCGATTCGAGTTATTGAGGTTCCACTGTAAATGCAATAAAAATTAAGTAATATCTTAATTAGCAGGGGTGGGCGTGGCCCTCCCCCCGCGGGTGGCCTTGTTTCCAGGACTCGTATTCACACTCTTTTGCCAATGTTATTGGCTGTGTACGAACTGTACGGTTTTGACTTATTATTTTTTTTTGTTTCAACTGAACCACTTTGTTCAGATTTTTGTACTTCAGAATTGTTGTTGCAGTAGGAGCTTTCACACGTCCAAAACTCGTGCGAAGTTTACGGATAGTCATAGCTGAGCACTCACCGTTTTTGTAATGGGTTTTTTGTATGAGTATACGCTGATGGTTACTGAACGCTCCATGGACCATGACAATTAAGTTTAATAAAAACAAAATTGGAGTGATGATAAAAATAATTAAAATATGGTTGACAACCTTCAAACAAAAAACTTCCACGAATTTCAAAAATTGTGCACTTTATGAAACATCCTTTATTTATAATTCGATCATTTTTAATCGCGCCAACTGACAACGTGATTACCGGGCGTCGTGCCGTCGCTCATAATATCGTAATCGCCCGCATTAACCAACCGTTATAAATATTATCATTCTAATGTAATCGATATCGTTTTATTCCATGCTCTTTTAAATATTCACAAACCCATCATGAAATTTATGCTAACGTTACTAAAGTTATATTGACAGGTTTAAAAAAAAACAAAAAGAAAATTAGTTTTGCTTTATAGTAAATTAATATTTTAATTCATATCTATTATTTTTTAATTGTTTTTACTAAATATTCATAAATTAAGAGTGTTTTTTTCAGTGTACTTATCTAGTTATTTAAAATTTTTATTTGAAAGTTTATTCTTTTACAAAGATAGGTATATTTAATGTAATATTTAAAATATTATAGAATTATTGAATTTTGTAAATTATAATCATATTATTATGATGTTCACAATATAAAATACCCCCCCCCCCCCCAATAATTACTCTGGATCCGCACCTGCTTTAAATATACATAATATGTAGTATAAAGGTAAGGTTTGCCGAGAGGAATTGTTGAATTCTCGTCGTATAAGTTACGCGCAGTGATGCGGAGTGGCTAAATTTATCTTTTAGCGTGGAGAGGTCTCCGTACATTCGTATCTAGTGTGCAGTTGAAGAGTTAAGACTAAAGATACATCAGCCATACTCAAACGACGATCGTAGTCGTCGTCGTACTTTTTTCATATTATATCATCGTGGTATAGGCTCGTAAAGAGGGGCTTCATTTCAGATCTGCCGACGACCCTATGCTTGTTTATTACTCATACCACAATTAAAACACACAATTATTATATATAACAATATGAAGGCCGAAGAGGGCCTATACGGCTATACACGAATTCCGTATACGTTTTTATACGAATATTAAAGATCGAAATTCTCATACCTACTCGCAGAACACGTCTTCGATAAGATAAACGAGTATTCTTTGCTTCTTTGAATCGAGTGACGCTAATTGAACCCGACATAATGAATATAATAATGTGCATTTTAGTCAATAAAAACGAATACCGTCTATACCATATCATTTTATCGTCACCATGCAACGGTGCCTATAGAAATATATAGTTTTTTTTTTACACTGGTGCTATATTTTATTATTTTTTTTTAGTCACTTTCTCATAAATTCCTATTGTTGATAGTAAATAATATTGCGTGTACACGCTGAACGATAAATAAAACGGCAAATTCATTAAAAAAAAAAATTAAACAATTATACTATATAAAAAATGTAATCAGCAATAATGGTCTACTTTAAGAAATAATTAAATACGAATAAACCAATAATGTATAGCGAAATTGCATTAACGTAAAGATTGTATAATATAAGCTCAGATTGATATTGAACTTAACTTATTATTTTTATAATTATAACAAATTTTAAAGACAGATAAGGTTATTTAAAAAACAAAACTAATGGCTACGCCCCCTTCAATAAAAAAATATATAAATGTATGTCCATACCTAATACCGGTTATAAAACAACATATACCATTAAAATAATTTATTATAATAAGTAAAAGTATACTTGTACTATAATACGGAGTACAGCGTTTCCGACCGTAGCGTCGATTATTATAATTAATATAAATATTTTTATATTATTAATAAACATAATATAATGACTAAAACGTTGTTTAAATCAGTACCGGTATTTTCATGTTTAGCCTTCGATTGAGGCGGTTGTACGTTTATAATAAATAAATTCCACTAGTATGATTTTACTACCTGACAGAAACATGTAAATTTCACAAGTTTCAACTTGCAAGCTATAAAATAAATATAAAATTAACTGCTATTATTTTTTGATCAATTTTATTTTTAACTTTTAAATTGAAACTGAATGATTAAAAAATTTCAATTTCATTTGTTTAATGAATAAAAACATTCAAAATAAGTAATGAATCATTGGATGGCTTCTTTCGAAAATTTCAATTGTGTCTCCATTAGCTTATTGTTCTAAAAAAGGGATTGTAAATATCTTATGAAAAAATTTTAATTGAAACTAAATTTGGTTATAATGACGTGCATTTTTTTTCCCGATAGAATGCCAAAATTAATTACCTAACGTAAATAACACGATAAATGTCATAGCATATCATTTTTATTGCTTTAATTAAATGTTTGTATTTTTTTTTAAATTTAATACTGGTAGAATTTACATTAATTTTGTACCAGTAAAATCATATATTTTTGGAAGTAAAAAAAAAATGTACTTTTCGAATACGACGAATGATTTATGTTTAATCCATACTTTTATTATTTCTATTTTCTTATGAATGAATCCATTGAATCCTAACAAATGTTAACAATTATGTTGAATTATTACATAATTTATTGTTTAAATTGATATTTCAATTAAAATAACGCGTTGTTAAGTATAACAATTATTACTGAAAATTAGCTAATACAATCGACAATCAAGTATGACAAGGGTAAAATAATAAAAAATAAACCGAATGAACCGTACAAATCGAAATTTAATTAGTTTTTCTCTCGACGTTTTTCAAGTATGATAACATGTTTTTTAGATGGAATCAATAGACATTATTTGAGTGCAACGATAATTTTCGATTTGGATTAATAACAATCGTGACGCAACATTAATCGTCCGCATCAACGTATCATAAATCCGACTCTAAAACCGACTACCTGCAACCCGCAGTAAAACCGGTGGAATTTACGTGCACTCCCTACAAGCGCGGGTACCCCAGCACGGCCGCAGAATTCTTCGGGTACCGGGACCCACCATCCTCCACCCATATATCCACCCATCGGCCATGACGGACCGTATATTATATACATACACGGCTGGTTTGGGAGTCGAGCACCCTCAATGCAAACAATAATTCATCAGCATCGAGACGGGTATCGACGATGAGAATAAAAATATATCCGTCTGCAGTGTAGATTTAATCAGCTGCAATAGTCTCCCCCCCACCGTTTATGTGGCCAGGGGATGGGTCGGATCAGTGGCAGCTGCAGCGCATTTGTAGAGCGCGCGAACCGGGCACACGTGTTCCTCTCCGCCGCGCGCCCGTTGTTCACACCGCGCTGCGACCAGACGCGTTCAAAACATTGGTTAGAGGCGCTTCAACGACGATGCCGAGGACGACGACGACGACGACGACGACGACAACAACAACAACAACAACAACAACAATAATAATAATATTTTTGTTTGGCCCGCTTCCAAGGTTATTGGCCACAGCGATTATGAGTCACGGACGCCACGTGTCGTTTTCCAAGACCCCTCCGCCCCTTGCACCCCGCCGAAAACAACTAATCTCGACCACCGCCGCCGACGCCGCTGACACCACCGCCGCCAGCACCAACGCCGCCGCCGCCACCACCATCATCACCACCACCGCCACCGCCACCACCACCACCACCGCCGCCGCCGCCGAAACCATCACTCCCGCCAGAACCAGAGCTTATAAACATAGTCACCGTCGCCGACGAGTCCCGACACCCGCGACCCGTTCCTCTTGTGGCCGATAGGCGTTGCAAACGGTGGCGGTGTAGCGCTGCGGACGACGCGCGACGGGTACGACAACGACGACGACGATGACGACGACGACGCACGCTCGCTCGCCATCATTCGTGCCAATGCACCGTTGACGTCCACACCTATCGCGCGCCCATCGACACGTCGCATCTCCTCTCAGCACTCGCGGAACCTAGGCACTACGTCTCTCAGCATCCGTCGTCTCCTCACGTACTCCGTTCGCGTTTTTCAGAGATGAACTTGCCGCCGCCACCACCATATCCTTTGAACCCACGTGGCCACTACCGCTCCGTGAGACGCATCTGTCCGCGTGCCGGTAAGTGTACAGTTTCTATGAGTTTTTTTTCTTGATCCTTTTTTTGTCCGCGTTTTGCGCCGCGGTGCTTTCGTCCCGGATACCCTGGTTCGCGGTGTTGATCACTGTGCCCGGGCGCTTCTATTTATTATCTATTTTCTTCGGATCGGGTCTTTTGCCGATCACCGCCGCATCTCGTCTGCTCGCTGTCCGTAATAATATAACATCATTAATGTCACATATTGTAAAGTACAAGAAAATTGTTGGACCGAATAGGTGTAAAATGAGTTGAAGTCCCGCGTCGGGATAATAAATCGCGTATTATCGATGATATGACGCCGCAAACAGCCCGGTACATTTTTTTCTACACCATCGGTTTGGGCGAACAAATCTCTTGGTAGTGTATCGAATCCGATTGTTCCATTCGAAAAATCCTAAATAATAGTATACTGTTTGCCATATTGTCTATAATAATAATAAAAAAAAAAAAATGTTATTGTAATCTTCCTTTGTTTATGGATGGCTTTATCGTGATTGATGTGAAATCGTATTATTATATTTTTACTCTCGATTCGTGCATGTTCTTACCATTGCAAATTAGTTATACGCACTTAAGATTATCTACTTATTGCTTTAAAAATATTTAAACGCTGATACACAACCATAAACAAATTTATTTTTCAAGTATACGTATTTAAAAATATTTCTTAAACAGCTATGATGTGATTAAAAATCGTAAAAAAGAATTGCTAAAATATTTATTTATTTTATTATTTATGTTATTTCAAATTATTATATTGAGTATAATTATTACAATTATATTCATGTTTTTCATTTGAATAATAAAAGGTGGGTGAGTATTAAAAATACTAAATAGAAATATCTTTAATGGCCAATATGTGTAAATGTTTTATCATTTAAGCTTTTAAATTCAACGATTAAATTGAAAAATCTCAAAGAGAATAAAAAAATGAATAAATACAGTTTTATATCAATTTAAATTATTTGTATTAGGCATTAAATTAATATTATTTGATTATGTGAATAATTTCAGTATATTTTAAAGACATTATTGTATTTAATAAATTAAAATACATAGTATTCAAATACTAAACACGACTATAAGCTGTTATACTTTTGCTTTTCCGTCACAGATTTGTAATAAGATTTTGACTTTGATTTTATTATTAGAACGGGTGCATTATTGTATTCATTTTATAAAGTATTTGTCTAGATCTTTTTTCATCTTTAATCAGGATAATTGAAATAGTGACTTGATTGTTAGAGCAGCTTGTCATTGAATAAGACGTGACAGATATAATAGTGCGCTTCAGCGTTTGGCTAAAAATATAAAACTTAGCGTCTTATATATATAAATATATATTCACGGACTTAAATTGTATCTATGTGTGAGTTTATACAGTTAATACATTTAGTGTGTATCTACACCAGACATATCAAATGTCAAGTATTTACTGGGCCAAATATATTGAATAGTAAGAATAGTAAGAATAGTAAGAATAGTAAGAATACTATACAGGCCGCACACTGAATTTATTGAAAAAAACATCTTTGACAAATGTATAAAGATTATCTAAGAAAGTACATGATACTACATATATATTATACATAATATGTTTACCAAAATATCTCTTTCTCTAACTCAGTTACCTATAGTTACGACGTAAAATATTTATTTATTTATTTATAATTTTTTACAATATATATATTATTTAATAATAGGTTTATATGATGATAATAAATAATATATAATATATTAGTTATGTGAGTGTGTGTTTGGGCACATGAACATGTTTTAGTTAAATTTCCAAGTGAGATATACTCTTAGCATAAGTAACTTAAACTAAGTTGTATGATTTAAAGCGTTTGAGGCATTTAATGTCTTGCAAAGTTGTCAAGAAGTTGTTTAGTAGTTGTGTTGGTGTGCAGCTCTATAGTTTTTCACATATATTTATTGGCAAACTATTTGGTTTCATCCTGGATGGATATTTTTAAATCTCAGTGAATAATTTTTCATTTTTGGTATGCTGTGAAAATGACAAGAAGGGCAATATTAACATTTTTAAATATTTTAACAACGTAAAATGATTTCAATGTTGATTTGATGGTATAACTTGACAACCATATGCCATAAGTCTAAATTGGTTTAAAATAGCTGTATATAGCAGCCTTCTGTTTTCCAGGTCAAGTGTGGAATGTCTTCCAACTAGCCAGTATGATTTAGGTATTTTTTCTTTGGTTTTCAATTATTATTTTTTGGGGAAACCTAGTATTTTAAATTCATACGGGAATCTAACCATATATCTAAGTATTTAGCTGAATCTTTCTGTAATTGTTGTGCAATCCCACAAAACTTGAAATTAAATTGAGTATATATATATACTTTATGGTAATACATAACTTGATATTTATTTATTATTTTATTAATATTTCCAATTCAAAATTATATTAAAGGGTTTGAAAGCTGTGATTATTTATCATCTGTATGCCATATAATAGGCAATTTATATTTCCAACGTACTGATTAATTCAATGATGAAATAAGCATTGTGAAATGAGTTTACCAACAAATTTAAAATAGCATTTCTTAAGTTCCAATTTTCTCAGTTTGTTTGGTATGACATATAAAGATAAAATCAAAAGAGTGGGAATGTTGATCTCAAATAAACTTCGTGAAAAATTCAAATTTGTTTAAAGAATGTCTATTGCATTGTAAGATTAATGGGGAAAAATCGAATATCTCCAACGCATATGTAATAAATAAGAGCCAGAAAACTATTGCTTCCAATTCACTGAATACTGCATTGAGTAATATAAATGTTAATAAGATAAATTACTTTGAAAGTTTCGGCGCGCCATCACTAATATTTTAATTAAGTACGCGACAATTGACATAAATACACGGTTGAGTGCGAATTCGAAAAAATAGGTTTTCGTGTATAAAATTATGTACCTCTTTAGAGATCATAAACACCTAAGTAGATACGTATAACATTATAAATTAAAACAATTATATAGATTTGTTTATTTTGGCTACATTGTATACTACATTTCACACGATATTAATTTACCGATGTTTCACATATCTGACATCTGTTATGATTTACACTATAAATTAGTAAATTATTTTTCTATCATCACAAATAATAATGATGTTAATACAGAATACATTACGAAAGTCTATGGTTCAAAGCTTATAGTTCTTATTTGTAGATATTGTGTACTACAAAGTATTTATTGTTAGTATTTTAATTACAATTTTAAGAACGATTAAAATTTTATGTTATAATTCATCATGATTTTCGATGTAAGAAATAAATACATTTTATAGTACATTATTATTTTTTTAAACAGAATATAGATTTTGTAAAACGAACTTGATAATTGGAATAAAAGTATAAGACTGTTTATGTTTGAATATACATCCTACTGGTAATAATATATTATATTACAGGTCGACATAAAGGAAACAGCCGGCTAACCACAATTCCAGAGTACATAGTTAACAAACAGAGGTAACGTTTACAATATTACTCATATAAATAAGACATAAACCTAAAAAAAACCTAAAAATATGATGTGTGGTTCTTATTTAGCTCTTATAACAACAGTTATTTCTCGTGTTAATCTACCATTTATTATATCTTTAAAACAAATATATCATTAAGTAGGTAACTGTACTTAATGATTTTATTAAACTATGTACGAACCTATCAAATTATTATTATATAACCCTAAAGTATGATGTATAATTTGTGGTAAAAAAAAGTGATGATTTTATTTTTCTGAAATAAATTAAACTTTATTACCTACAATAGTAAATTTCAATGTTTTACAAAAAGGAAATATAATGTATAACTAATTAATTAAATAAATAAATCCACATAAGTAAATAGTTTCAATTTTATTGTGTTAATAGAATATTCAGTTATCAAAATAATTTATACACATGTATAAATATATTCTTTGAAGGTACTAATAAATACTTTAATTAATTAATACAACTATAATGAATGACTTAACTCTAAATACTTAAAATAAAATAACATATTTAGAAATCTTTTATAGTGATAGGTATATATTAGTGAGTGAGTATAGCGTACGAATAATAACCACTAATTATTTCTTATTGGTATAATACTATATAATATCATACCTATGTAGGTAGGTATTTATTAATGAATTTTTACTGTAACCACCGGTGCTAACCGATTTGTTAACCTATAGACAATAATAATATACACTTTTATTTTTTTTAAATTCATCATTATAGTGAGGAATATCAAGCAATTGCCTGGATTATATTACAACAGTCAATCTCTAATTTAGTGAAACAACTGACTTCAGAAGACAAAGCCAGGGAAGTCGCAAAAAAGATTTTACGTTTAAATATAACGCGTGGTAAAGGTTTACTTTGCAAGAATATTATGGCTCTTCAGTTTGCTTCAAGTGATAAAACTCATATTTATGCTTTGTTTATTTCCCTTATCTACCTTGAGGTAGGTAGCTTAAATTTTTTCGACATAACAGGATTTTCAATAAGTTTATTTTGGTATTGTTAGTTTCCAGACGTAGGAGGGTTACTCTTGGTACGATGTCTTCAGCAGTTTAAAGTTGCAAATAAAACAAGAGAAAAATGTGAATACTTAACATCAATTCTATTTGTATCATACTTGATTATTAATGATGTTGTGAGTGTTAAATTGTCTTAATTATTTGAAAATATTCACACCAACAAATACCTAACTTATTGAACGATACAGGTTTCACCACTTATGGCTGTTAAACTATTGACATTTCTTATCAAATTACCGTCACAAAATTCAATTGATGCAGCATTTGTGATTTTAAATACATGTGGACATAAATTGAGTAATCAAAATAAACAGGAAATCGAAAACCTTATAAACTTAGCTGGATATAGTACTTCGGCATTCAACATGCGGTTTGGCAATAAGGTAAAAATATCACTATAATATTTTTTTTATGTTTAGTTTTAAATATTCATTTACAGACTAGTTCAAAATTAAATTACAGTAACTGTGTTACGTTCTTGTGCTATTTCTATATAAAATAGAAATAGTAATTTTGATAATCCTTTAAAACTTACCTAGTTGTATTCAGGCATATACATTTATATAAAATTAAATAAAGGTTAATAACATGGTCTAATATAAAGTACATTTTAAATTTATTACTTTGGTTTTGTAAAGTTTAAATTGTTTTATTAATTTGAGTTTTAGTGCAATATTAGAGGTATATAAAAAATGTGATTCTTATTATTTAAAAATAAAATTTCGAATCTACATTAATTTAATTTCTGAGATATTTTAATAGTATTTTAATTAGCAGTATTAATCTTATTAGAATAATATTTACTTATCGATTAATGAAATATAATAGAGTACGGATTTCTATGCACTAAAAATTATCGAAATATGCCATATAATATGCAGTACCTAAAAATCATAAAAATATGCAACAAATATGAAAGGAATTTTTTTTATTTGTAAAATATTTACAAATTAAACAACTTACAATAATTAATTACTTAAATAAACTAAGTATATAAAAATTTTTCGTTTTAATATGCAATATATTTCGAAATTTGTAAAAATATACAGAAATGTACAAATAAAATTTCACCATTAGATTCAAATTCTTATGATTCGTGAAGATAACTGACAATAATCCAAAAAAGTAAAAGGGAAAAAAATATGCAATTGCATAGAAATCCGTGCTCTAATAATAATTGTAATATAAATATAAAACAAATTTATTTTATAAGTTATAAGTTAAAACTATTGTTAACATAAACAATAAAAATTTTAAGATGTTTATATATGGTATTTTGTATGATTTTAATTGATAAAGATGTTCAATAGATTAATAATTATTAATTCATATTTTGTTAAAAAATAAATAAATTTGTATTATTAATTTATAAAAATATAGAATACTATATATTTTTGTTGATTATGTTAGTCTATTATTTAATATTATTTAATGTAATCGTTTGTCTCTTATAGTTATGATTATTGAGACTAACAATAATTTAATGTTGATAAATTATTAATAATAAGTAATAAATTATTATATTTTAGATTCGACGTATGATACAAATAATAATGAAAACAATTACGCTTAAAAATGTATTGAAATTCAAGAAACCAGCTGTGACAAAATTTAGGATGCCTTTTAATATTTCCTTGGAAAATAATATCAATCCAGAATTGGATTTGGGTATGAGTACCTTGTTATTTATATTTAATACACCATACTCACTTTAATATAATGGTTTTTATTTCAAAGTCAATTTTGGTTTTACAGACTATTATTCTTACGATCCATATTATGCATCTGCTGAAGAACTGTACGAATTATTTCGAAAACAAGTTCTAGAATCTGATGATAGAGATGAATACATATTAATGTATGATACTAAATCCTATGGTAAAAAAAATAGTAAGTATCTATTTTTAGAAGTAAGTTACCCTCAACTATCATATTTATAGATCTATTGTATCAACTACCTATATACACTTAATTACCTATACATATATTAACTTTGAGATAAATTAAAGTTTTAGTCTACGCAGTTTTTAATTTCAAATATTTTTATTGTAATGGTAATATATAAATAAATAATAATTATTAAATAAATATTAATACTATAATAATATAATGTTATATATTTTAGAGACACAAAATAAATATGTGATTAAGTTCTCAGGAAATCCAAAAATAGATAAAAACTCGAAATCATTAAAAGAATTAGTACAAGTCATGATGGACTCATCAACATTTAAGTACGAAAATTGTGCTTCTCAATTAATGAAAATAAAATTGAATCCTGGCCAAGAAATGGAAATTTGCATTATGTTTTTTGAACTTTGTTTTGAGCGTGATTCATATAATGAGCATCTAGGACACATAACACAAGTAAGATTCAGTGTACATTTGTATAAATAATTGTTTACTATACTTAGCTCAGTGTCTTATTATTTTATGACGTTAAAATTGTAATATAATTTTAAAATGAATGTAATACTCGTATAATTGGTTTGAATTTTTAATTTCGTTGTTAGAAATTACTTTGGAGATAAAAATATTTAAAATCAATTGTGTAAATTATTTAATTAATTTCATAATCGGTTAAATGTAATTGTTTTAATTTAAATCGTTTAATTACAGTATAAGAAGAAATAAAGAATAAAATAAAATAATACAGATAAAACTGTCGAAAAGAATTGTCAACCTTTCACGTAATATATTTGTTTTTGTTTTAGATATTTTGTCAGCTAAACAGACTTCTAATTGAACCGTTAGAAAAATTGTTTGTTGACACCTACACTATTGTCAATAGTTTTGACACGATAAAATTACATAATGTTGCAAAATATTTTGCTCAACTGCTATACAGTGATACAATTTCTTGGAAGGTTTTGTCAGCTATACAACTGAATGAAGTTGAAACAACAGCTTCTACTGGTAATTTCGTCAAGCATTTGTTTCTCGAGTTGTACGAACATATGGGAGAACAACAATTGAATGAATGTGTTGAGGATCCGTAAGTAAAATTATTTCAATGGTTATGTTTTTGGTTATACAGAGGAAAACCGCGTTATACTTATTTTACTTTCCTCCTTTAATAATGCATTTATTCAAATTCTAATTTTTGGAATTTTGAGAGCATTTTTATTTATTTAAATATTTTATTCCATTTAAGGAGTGTGTATACAAACGTTTTTCAAATGAAATTCGTCCTATTATTGTGAATATGTGAATTGTTAAATGATGAATAAATTTAAAAAAATTATAAATCTAAATCTATATTCAAATAATCAATTTCTGAGTTCTTCAAATTTATGTACCAAAGATAATTATTCTTATCAAGAGGATATCAGTTGCGTACTATATTTTGTTTTCTCTTTCTGGACCACGCATATAACTTAGACAAAACGCATTTATGCAGAAACATTTTTGTTTGTGTTTTTTGAGTACTTAATTTTAGAGTGAAATTATCTAAAACAAAAATTATAGAGAATAATATATTTGAGGGTATGACATATCATCATATTATGATAATATTTGTCTGTAAATATTGCCTCAAAACTATTTTAAACATCGTTGAAATTTTTTTTTTTTTTTGAAAGTTGAATATTAAGTTAAATAATCATAAATCATAGAACAGATATGTAGAAAACTTTCAAAAATGTGATCCTTTATAATTTTTGTAATATGTACTTTTTATTCTATAATTATTGATTACTTAAAAACATCAAAAAAATGATTTTGCGTAAATGCGTTTTATCTAACCGGGCCAAAGAGAGAAAACAGTGCTGTGACATCCTCTTAATCAAATATAAAATGATTTTAATAATAGATTTTTAGTATAGTACTTATTATACTTGGACACAGACCTGGCTCAAGTGTTTAAACATGCCAAGGCAAACTTGAGTTTTGTCACTTCTTACATGTAAAATTTTTAAAAATTATAAATTATAATACAAACATGTTAAATACTCTAGGCATGAGTTTATATCATCTACTTATTGAGCTGGGCTTGCTTGGACAATTTGTATAAGTTATAAAATGTTTGCGTGATATTATATTATAAATTATTACAATATTTTTAATCATCATAACTCACATATCTTTAAAAAATTATCATAATTAGGTACATACAATTCCATACTTCAGAAACCACTATTTTTAGTTTTGATTTTTGTGCTTGAACATTAAAAAAAATCTGCTTTATAATTAAAGTGTGGTTTTGATTTTTAAAAAGGAATTATTGATACAAGAAATTCTAAAAATGGTATAAGAGTCTAAATATTTTAATATAATTTATTAAATTTCACGAGGAGTAATGCTGAGCAGAAGTTTATTCTGTTGGAAATAATTGCAACAGAAAGGAATGTTATCCAATTTTAATTTGAAGGGAAGCAATAATATCATGGTATCTTATCGTGTGGTGGTTTTAATAATACGAACCAAATATATTAAAAATCCAAAAATTAAAATTTGAATAAGCTATTTATTAAAAGAAGTTATGTTGAAATGCATAATTGGTAAATTACGCATTAAATTAAGTTTAAAAATAAAATCAAAATTTATTATTTCAGTTCGTTGAAAAATGCATTTGAAGGAATTTTTTTTGGAAGTAGATATAACCCAAACTTTTCTGTTGAGTTTTTTTCATCTATTGGTTTGAGTGGCTTAATGTAAGTCTATTAAATTTAAAATGTATTAAATATTTTTAATAATTTAATAATTCATCATTAAATTTTTAGTTATACATTTGAAAACTCATTAATTTTCTGATTCAATTTATAATTTGAGTGGTTACAATCAGTTGATATTGGATAATTACATATTGACTGGCGGCTGCAACAATAACCTACACCGATTCAACTTCATCTATCACTTTTAAAATTTAATTGGAGTTATTATATCTAATATTTTATTTCTATGATATAATTAACTTATATAGTACAAAATAAATTTACTTAATTTTAGAGTTGTTAGTGTTTTTTCTAGGTTAGTTACTAAACTATAGTTAAAAATAAAAAAAAAAAGCTTTCATTAAATTTTTTTGTTAATAAACAATTTATGCTACACGACAGCTATTTATAATCGAAACAAAGAAAATAAGGTAGATTACCTATGTTATAAGTAATAATTTATTTGGTTTAAAAATTAATTAATTTAAGGATCTTGATAAGAACATTTTTCTAAATAATAAGTTCATCTTCGTTCAACTTCTAAGATTATTAGTTATGTTAAACGATCCATTGATTTATAATGTTTGTACGGAGGTAACGGGTTTGTTATATAAACATGAAATAAGACTTCAAAAATGTATTAGTTGTACCTATAATATTAGCATAATTATATTATGGATGGTATTGTCTTTTTTTTTTATTATTATTATAGTACTTAAGTCACTATAATAATCAAATAAATTATTCATTATTGATAAACAATGTATTTAAATATAATACAATTAATTGTCAAAAAATATTTTTTTTTGTATCGTGAAGTTCAACTACAATATTATTGTAAAATTAAAACTGCAAAGATTATACCTACCTTTATTATGAAATAGAATAAACAAAAAATACAAAATGTAAAACTGTTTCTTACCTTTATTCATTTATTATAATAAATAAATACATTTAAAGTTTAAACTTTTTAATACTTTGATGATAATGGAAGTTGAAAACATTTAATAAGAACACTGATTACCTACCATTCCTACTACCTAGAATCCTGCAGGTGATCGTCAGTTGAATAAACCAGTACTCTATTAATATGTAGTACAATAAAATTGTGCACTAATCTTTGTACTACAATGTTTAAACTGTTCAACCGTATACATTGATATATTTTAGTGGTAGCTAAATGTACTTTTCCATCGCAACACGTTGACTCTGCATTATTTTAAATGCTGGTAAGTTTGAAGATGGTAATAAGTAGTTGTTATTAATTTAGTATTAATTAATGTTTTAGTTGTATTAACTACAATTCGCTGTTGCGTATTATGACGTTAAATGCCTTTACTGGATTGTTTAGGTAGGGGTCAATCAAAAATCAGATCTTTTAGTGGTCATCACGACTTTTAAAAGCTATTGACTATCAATACATGCTATTACTAGTATGTACCGATTCTTTCAAACCTATAGCGTAACTCTATAAAAAGTCTGTCATGTGTTGCCATCCAACGATTGATCCACACTGTTTGTAAATACTATCAAGCGGTAAGCAAGAAAAGTTCGAATATCTCTCGAATTCAAAAAAGTGTATGTTTGAATTTTTATTGATCATATTTATTGTAAAATATCATTGTAGGAGTGACGGTCGGGGTGAGAAAAATAATTTTATTTCACGATATAAAGTGTATTATTCTTTTTACAATAATTACTTAGGTAATATATCTAAAATTTATTAAAAAAAAGTTTTATACAAATTTGTTCATTTTTCAAATTAAATTTGAAAACTAGTTCCCTTTTTTGAAATAAGATAAGTCATGTAATAATATTGTTTTAATACTAAATCGATCGTTACACGCATGTAAGATTAAAATTTTAAATTTTAATGAATAAATATTTATAAGTTCTATAGAATAATAGTACCGAGAGCAATTCGTATACAGTAAAACCCCTCCTGTGCGGAATTGCACGGGGCCGATAAAACTTTCTGTTTTAAGCAGGTTTCCACACAAATGAATAAAAAGAAAAATTCCGTACAATAGAGTTACAATTTTTGTATGATTCAGATTTAAGATTATAATATTTTCCGGCCAATAATAAAAATAAAAATATTTATTTTTATAACAATATTATATATACCTATGGATACAAATCCATGAAGTTCTATGTATATATCTCACAATTTTAATCTATAAATTTACAGTTTTCAACATTATTCTATTGTACTTGGAATTTTTACTCGTTATTTATTAAATTCATTTTTATATTTTATATTATATTATTAAATAATAAATAAGTATCTACTTATAGTTTATTTTAACAGTGCAGTAAATATTACTGCTATAATTATCACTGTTAGTATATAGTTTAATAATTGTCATCAGTTGTAGAATAATATTAAAAATAGGTAATATGTATGTAGTTATACCAAAATACTGATCATAGAAAGGTGTGTATCACTGTATCACAGAAAAGTACTTAGATCAACTTTTACAACTGCTAGAACAGTAAGAATAATACGAAATACCTGTAAAGATTCTAATACCTAGAAAAATGTATATGGTAGGTTGCATTTACTAAATATTTGCCTTACCACTAACGAGCCCCGTAAGCCACCACTAATGAATGTGGGTATCAAAAATATTTTTGTTCATTTTATGATATGTTTTTCCGTTTGTTCAAGGTATTTATGATTTACGGGACCAAAATAAGCTCTCCGTTTTACATTAGACAGGTTCCGTTTTATCAAGGGTTTAATCCTATGTTAAATTATAGAAATCTGCTGGGACCATAATAAATTTACGCACAGAACAGGATTCCGTCTTAACAAGGGTCCGTATAAGACAGGTTATACTGTACTTTGGCTTAGGTTTGAAAGTGTATTTCATCAATTCCCAGTAAAAGAACTTATAATAATATAATAAGTGAATAATCCAACACAAGTTTTCACTAACCGCATGATAGATTACGACGAAGTTCCTTTTTTGTGATCAATATAGGAACTCCCCATATAAATAATTGACAGCATAATATATTTACGTTAGTATGTATGTCGTATAGGTAAATGATAGATGTGGTTTGATACCTTACTTTTATAAAATCTCCTCTTCCGACGGATTTATAAAGATGATTTTGAATTCTACCGGACGCTTACAAGTTATAATTTTGGTATATGAAAATTGCGCTAAAGGTAATAAAAAAAAAAAAATTCATAATAAATTATTTATTTATTTATTATTGTTCATTTATAAATGAAATTAAAAATAATTGCGTGATTTTTGATAACTGATCAACCAAAATATTATACTAAAATTTCGTTAAAAACGTACAAAATAATAGATATGAGAAAAATATTTATAATATATAATAACAGTGTGTACTTTAAAGCTTAAATTGCAGTATAAAATATAAGTGTAGATATAATATGTAATTGTGTAAATAATACTTAAATGTCTGTCATGTATTATATTTATTAAATTATGAACAATAATCTAAAGTTGGGTTTCATAAACAAGCACTGAATATTCAATGAATCAAATGATTTATTAAATACATGAATCAGTAGCTCATGAGTACTTGGTTCAGTATTAAATTTTAGTAAGCTGTTTGATTAATCAAATTTATATACAAAATATATAATTAACATACGTACATGTACTAAATTCGTAGGATGGGTGTGATTCACAATAATTCACGTTACATTTATCGATTTTACCTGTAACTTTAGGATAAAAATTTACCAAGAACTTTCTTAATACACAACTATCTGAAGGGGCGTCGCTCTAGTAAATCCGGTTTTCAAAATTGTATCTTTTTAATAGTCGATGTGATTTCTAAGTTCGTTGAATCCAAAAATCGTACGCTTTAAAATGAATTAAAAATTTTTAAAAAAATGTATGCACATATTTTTTTCTTTTTCTATCTGTCTATTATAAACAAAACTATTGTATAATTTATCTTTCAAATGTTTCATTTTTAAACGTTTTAAATTTAAAAATGAAAAGGGAGACGACATTCAAGGGTATCGAAAAGAAATAAATATGTAATTTGTTACTTGGAATATCATGTGATTTAAGTTATGTTTTATGTATAAGTTGGTATAAATATGTGTTTATAAAATATGATACTAAGTACAATGGATAAACACAAAATATATCATTTATTATTTAAATTTACATATTTGCAACTATATTTTTATTATATATATTGTAGTTAATATCTAATAATGAACATAGTTAGTGGTTACTTTAGTAGTTACAAGTGTAGGTTGGGAGGGGGAGGGGGGTGTCTTTGATTTCTCTAAAAATCTTTCAAAGAACCTAAAATAAAATAAGCCGGTAATTCCTGCTATACCGCCTCTACTTTCATTTGACATACCAACTTTATTTATGACCGAATAAAATTTTTCTAGAAAAGTTTATCAATATTTTGAATTGACGTCCGGTATGCCTTTTTTTTAAACTTAGTTGCATTCTTAACTTTATTGATTTAATGATGGAAACTTCATGATAGTATTTATTATAATTGGATATATGAAGTATTTTTGAACAATGGTATAAACCTTATTGATAAATTTAACAAACAAAATAAAAATGTGTACTTATTATTAAAATATTTCGAAAAGGCACACAAAAATAATCGTAAATACAATATTATTGGTACTATAGTTATCATAAATATTGTACGAAAAATGCTCACGTAAATTCTTGTTTCATATTACATATAAATTTAAAATGTTTAAATTTATTTATTTATTTTTTTTTTTTTTGATTCAAATTTAAGTTTATTATAAACTTTTTTAAATAATAATTGTAATTTTAATTATATTATATAAGTATACATAAATATTTGTACTTATATTGATCTATAAATTGCTTCAGAGTGCACTCTTAAACAATTAACAATAATAATTAAGTAATTATGTAACCTTTGATACACAATCGATGTCATTAATTTTCATAGTATCATATTATATTATACCCATCTAATTTACAGAGATCTCTTGAAAGCGTCTCAAATTTATACCCGTAAAATGTTTGGAGGGCATCCATAAAAATGCACATAGCCAAAAAAGGTGCCCTTATGACCCATTGGCGTCACAATAAAATCACCATTTTAGACAAGTATCGCCTCAAAGAGACGAATTGAATTATTCTAAAGTTTTTTTTATTTTTAGTTTTAAGCTATAATAAATTTAGTTAATTATAAACTATTTCAACACGAGTAATATGATTTTATTTGCGTTATTTCTATTTTTTTTAGAGATATCAATAAACCGGCGCACTGAGAATATACTTAAATTACAACCGATATGTTTGCTCCATTAGGTTATTAAAAAAGATTTAGATAACAGAACGCACTCAGGTGACGCCCCAATTTGCGTTCCACTAAATAGTCTATTGATTTATTTTTATACCTACAAAATATAGCTATTTTTGAATGTAGTATGCTACAGCCTATTATATTGATTTTCCTATATTTGTTTATGAAAAATATATTTATGTATTAACTTATTATCATTATTATTTTACCAAAAACTAAAAAAAAGTTAATTGATAATAATTGCAAAATTGTATGAGGCCCTAAGAAACAATATTAACGGAATACTTACAATATTAAACTATTTGAATTTTGAAGAATAAATATGTTTTAAGTTCACATTGCAAGTTAAATTATTTAAATTTAATTGTACTTTTCTCATAATATTTTACGGTGTAGCTTATTTTACTCAAACTCCTAAATAGGTACCTAAACATGGAAATTACAATGTGCGTACTTCAATAGCTAATGTCAACTCTAAGATGTATCTTTTTAAATTTTATATATTAAATTCTAAACGGAAGCTAATTCGGCAAATTTTCGATTTTACCTGAAAAAGGGTCAACGCGATTGAGTACTAAATACTAATATTGAAATTGCTCGATCGACCAAAAAACAAAAAAAAGGACAATTTACTATTTTTATATAATAGTGCTTATTACTCACATAGTTATACTTTTTATAAGCAATCAATAAAACTTAATACGCTTAGTAATGACTAATGACGTGTTTTTGTGTTATACAGTCACACAAATAAGTAAATTTTATTAATTATTATACACGTTTTTCAATAATAAATTATTTTTATTTTATTTTTTAAATAAAAATATTATACTTTAAAAAACACGTTACTTGATCGTAATATATTATTGATTTATATTGTGTTTTGTAGTACTGTGCGATAGTAATAAAACTCATATTTAGCTATTGTTCGGAAGTTTAAAACATATCAAGAAAATTTTAAATTCATTTGTCAAGATTTTTTTCTCAGTTCTAATATTTTTGTGTAATAACATACTTATTGCATTTTTTTTTTCAATTTTATAGTAAAAAAAGCAAAAATACTCGATCGTGATTCAGTAATTGTTCGCAATCATATTACATTTTTGTTTAGTTACGAATTGGAATTGGTCCTATCGGATTTTTTCCCTAGTGTGTCAAACTGGATAATATATCGAATATATAATACAAAAAATACAATATTTATATAAGCTTTTAATTTATTTTATGTTTAAAAAAGAAAAACCATTGACAACAATATTTTCAATAGTCAATACACATTATTACATAATGTTTTCAGTGCTTTACTGAATACAAATATATTATAACATTTAAATTATTCATGTTTTGAAATCTCTTAGAAATATGTTGAAATAATTAGATTAACAATAAATATTATGTAACATTATTATACGTTTAAGCATCTAAAAGTGTTGTAACTTCATAAATTCTTGCTGGAGAACTATAATGCGGTGATATTGTTACAGATATCACATTAATTGAATATGTTGAGCCTGGTTGTAGCTCCTTTAGCTGTAAAATAAAACGTATACGTGGAATATAATATGTGTCTTATGCAATACATTCATGATTTAATAATAATTACAATAATAACAAAAATAAAAATCATTATTATTATAATAACACATGCACAGTTTATAGTGAAGCTAAAAACACAACTTTGCATCTGTATAATAATATACATTTATACCTAACGTGTAAACCTCTTTCATTAGCCACGCCTATACATAGGAATAGGAACAGAATTGTTTTCGACTCACTTAATAAACTACATAATATATACATTATTTGCAGAATAAAACACGGTTTGAGGTTAATATTCTTTTTTTTTTATTTATATAAAAACTGTTTTGCTATAATTTATTCGTTATTGATACCTACTTGTTTTAGGGGTCAACTGCATGTATATATCATTTTAATTATTGATACACAATGCACTTAGTCAGAATACTTCGGCATTCAATTACAGAATACAGCAATAATATTATTTGTATAATAGCTTTTGGTTTTTTATTAACTTATCAAAATAGGTTACATTAACTACTTAAAAAAGAAAATAAGACTTAATAACTATTAAATTATGTATAATATTAATTATTATCCTCTTAATTAAACTACTTATAGGTTAATCTAATGTTTAATACGATATGACCATATGTATCTAGACAACATTTTCATGTTTTTTAAAGAGTACTTTTGTATAGACTATTTCATACATTGTTCTACAATATGATAATATTATAATATGTTTAATGCTTTCAACTGTCAGTTTAGACAGTGTCGGCTTAATTATTTTAACGGATCAAAAATGTTGTTCTCGTTCGATTTTTTTATCGATAAAAACCTGAAACTGTATACGTGAGCAACTTTTTATTTTCATTCAACAGTTCAATAACATTAACATAATAATATTGGTAGTCTGCAATAAGAAACAGTTATCAATGTACCGTATCGTTTCACCGGAAGTCATTAGGCCTATTATTGCATAACCGCTGTTTTGGGATATTCTATTTTGTTCTCTCTCAAATATTTTATACCGTTCATGTAACTGAATCACGTCAAGTTATTGTTACCTACTTTTAATTCTAATAATTTATTCAACGAAACCATTTTTTACTTTGTTCTTTTTCATGTTCCACCGATTTCCATTACTATTTATTTTTTATTTTAAATTAGCTTTGTATAACTTAATTAAATTATTATTCATATAGCTCGACTTAGCAATAATAACGAGTTTATAACAGTAAGTATAATAGATAATTATTTACTATTTATGTTAAATTTACATTAATACATTTTGTTTAAAAAAAAATTATTCTTATATTAAAATATATATGGTTAAAAATTAAAATAGTATGAGTCCTATCAATTTAAGTGGTCAAAGTGAACAGATGTTGAAACTTAATTTTATATTTTAGACAGTCAGATACTAATATAGGTAGTTTTCATAAATACTATACATATCATATTTAGATGATTCTTGAAAGACCTCAATACAATGAATTAAAGAATAGATTTTTGACCATAATGTATATTAAAAATATTGTGAATTACAGTAACCATACAAACAAGTTAAAGAAAAAAGTAAATAACGTATAAATATAAAAGATATTTACAGTATAAACTGAATAATTCTCATATAAATAAACATTTTAACTCATTATTTAAAAGCAGATTATTTTTTAAAGTACTTATTTTGCTATAAAAATTTTTTGGACGAATAGTATGTGAATAATAACTTATTAGTGTTAAGACTTTTTGTATGATATCTTCGCAAAGTTTTACTCCACCCACTTTCCTTATCGAAACTTCAAATACTCATACCTATATTGGTTCTAAATTTAATTTTACACATCGAAATACTCCGAGTATTATTCTACTCTAAGGTATGAAATTAAATACGTATGTTATTATTCCAAAAATAATAATACTTAGAAAATGTTAACGATAAAAATTTGGAAAATACCTACATATTTTTTCAAATATTTTGTTTTGTAATGACTTAACATTATATAATAGAAAAAATTGTGAGCCATTTAGTAGTCATGTTCGTGGGCGACCCAGACACTTTTCTAGGGGGGGGGGGGGGACAAAATTAATTTAAAAAATAAATGAATATTTTTTTACATTTTATTTATAATACATTATTATGTTACGTCATTATTACATTAAATTATTACAATTGGGTAATAAAATTAAATTTCTAGGAGGGGGAAGTGTCCCGTCTTGCCACCTCCTGGGGACGCCCATGATCACGTTAATTGTTTTTAAGTGTTTTTGATATTTCTAATAATTATAATAATAATTTAATTTTAACTGATGGTAATCATTTATATATATGAAGAAAAGTTATTACTAGAATACGTCAATAAAATGCAATTGTGTTATATGTAACTTATACTATAAACTTTATAATTTTTTATTATTTAGAAACTGAATTTATTACCGTATAGTTATAAGAAGGCACTTCTTCGTCGAATGGGACTTCTATCGGCGCTAAGTAAACACAACACGTCTTATCAAGGCTTGCTATTTCTTCTATATTAATTATAAACATTTCCAATGTACCGTTGAATGTCCATGGAATATCCCACTGAAGATTAATGAATGTTTTTCCAATTCCGATAACTCTCACATTACTTGGAGGATCGGGTGCTACAGTAAAAATTCAATAATGCGTGATATATGAATTAATTTGCATGTAAACACATAAATTTAACTTACACCCATCAATGTTTGTAAAAGTAATTGACGAAGATAAACCACCTTCTGGGTATTCTGGTGTCTTGGGCTGAATCTATAAAAAATGAGTAGTAAATATATACAAAACATTTATTTCTTTATTTAAATTTTCTATATTATCAAAAAACTTTATTTTTTTATTCGTATACTTACTATAAACGTATAATTATTACTGGCACTAAAAACATAAAATGTATAACAGAAATATTCTGACCATGCCGAACACTTAATTGGTGGAACAATAGTAACATTTTTTTCGTGTGTGATAAAAGAGGTATTAAATGAACCATTAAATGAAACAATAAATCCATCTAACTTTGAATTATCTGGATAGTGCCAACGAAGTCCAATTACTTTGTTTTTCAAATTTTTTTTGTATACCATTAAATCATCCACTGGTCCTAAAACTATGAATATATGAACTTAGTAAAGGTATTATTGAAGAGGAGTGAAGTGATCATTTATAAACAATTTTCTTATACTAGCTAAATATGATACAACGATTTTTAAATTAGGTATTGAAATTATCAGTTGTATGTTCAGCTAAATATATTATTCAAATACGCATTCATTGAAATTTTAAAAATATTCATGGAGACTAAATACTTTTATGTATAGGTATAATTATATTTTACTACACACTAATATTTTAAATTATTTTTTTTAACAATACATTTTTAAGTATGACATATTTTCTGACAAATTCCTTAAATAAAAATCCTTCATTCTGTACCTACCTATCTGTAGATAATGGATTAGCCACTGTTTTATATGCAACTTCTGTGCTTAGATTATTCATAATATCGGTAATAAGTATGAATATTTAGTACTTACCTCCAAATGTTGTGAAATTGATAAATAAAAAATGTTCAGGATTATATCCATTGTGTGTTTTTATAAACACTTTCAATTCATACTGCGTATTTGATTTGAGATTATCAAACAAAATATTATTTTGTTTCGTTTCTTTTACTTGTAAATAGTTATTACTCTTCTCCTACAAATAAAAAAAAACAGCTTATTTCATTTACAAAATAATAAACTCTATTTTATAAGTATATAATATATAATATTATATTGGTACCTTTAATTCCACAAAATATGTTGAAAATAACCCATTCAGTTTAGAACAGTTAATAAAATCGAATTTCCATCGAACGAATACAGAATTATAAGTTATGTACATTGGGTTCTCAAGATCAAGATCCGGGGCTATGTTTGGTTCTAAGTTTAGTAAACACACAAATAATTTATCTCAAAAAGATAAGAGTATTTATCTTAATTTTAATTTTGAAAATTTTACTTGATGTCGGCGTCAATATGTACTTAGTTTGTTTTCTTTGATCGAAACTATCTTCAGCGATATAGACTTGTATATAATATTGCGAATTAGGAACCACGTCTAATATTTCGTAGTTAGTTTGATTAGAAATTGTAATCGACATCCAATGGCTTTCTAAATCATGCGAAGTACAACTGAGAATTCGTTTGATCTAAAATATTGAAAATTCCTCTTTATTTTATCTTAATTAAAAATTTATAATATGGCCTTACTACTAAATAACTAATGTAACATTTTTGTCATATTGTAAAAAAAATACTATGAACATATTATATCCCAGTATAGGTTATGCTAGTTTGTAATATGATTTATAAATTATTTATGATCTGTGATTTGATTATTTAAGAAAGTTTACCATTACAAATATTAAATAAATTACTTTGTATCTTAAAATGTACGTGATTGGTTCATTTACTAATGGTTTTACCATGACATTATAACGCTCATGTATATATCCTAATTTCCAAAATACTTTGATCTTTCCATCCTCGCCGATTGTAGTAATTTCTTTAACTTTGAATTCATTTCCTTCATTAAGTATAACATAAAAATTATTATTTTATATATTAATTGTTTATATTATGTATATATGTATAGGTATTTGTTAAAATGTATTAATATAGAAAATATGTATATATATATAATGTACCTGTAAGTGGAGCAACCGAATAAATAGGCGATGAAAATAGTCCTTCAGTTGTATTTAAAATTATTTGTATGTCATATTGATAACCTGGTATAAGATTGTTGATATTGTGACCACTAGTTGAATTTGATACTATTTTCTGTACACCAGATATTTGGTTCTGTGACTGATTGTGCGATAACATCAATAAATATTCAAAAATATTGCACTTTAATGGGTTAACAGAAGTACTAATCTATAACGAATACATAAAGTTAGAAAATCAATAAAACATTTACCTACATATTGTTTTTATAAGAAAAATCTTATCTATTTGATATTAATTGAATAATTTTATTTAATAAAAAAGTATTGATTAATGATTATTGTATTTTTCCTCTTACTTTGTTCCATGTTATGTTGATGCTTTTTATTCCACTTACGAGTGTTACATTAAAATCATCAATTTTTGGTGCTAAAATAAAAATGTTTATAAACTTACTTAATATAAATATCACAACAACTTATATTTATTTACACTTAATCGTGCTCTATTGAATAGTTTATTGAAAATACGTACGTATGCACGATGTCTTGAATTGGCCGTATACTATATCTTGATCATTAAAATTACCATCATCTGTTATTAACAGAACACCGACTAAGTATACAGTGTCTACATCTAAATCATTTAAGATTTCGTTGGTTCCATTGCTATTTTCAATAATGGGTTTGATTTCAGAATTGGTAAATTTCTCTTCTCCTAATGCCTAGAAACATTGATAATAGAATACAAAATTTTATTTAATCAATATACAATCCAAGAATAATAGCGGCTGTGCTACTCGTATAATTTATCACCTTAAAATTTGTTAAATAATAATTAAATAACCTTGCCCAATTTTGATGGGCATGTTCTTATGATAATAAGACTCTATAAATTGAAATACTTATTATTTAATATTTATTAATAATAATAGTAATACCATATGTATGTACACAACTAATTTAACGTTAAAATTTCAAGATTCAATATTAAGTATTCTTAGTTGTTAATAAAATAATTTAGCATAATAAATAATATTAAACTATAGTACAACATTATACAATAGGTATTATAATTTATAGTAATATTTTATACGTATGATTTGTATGTGCATTGAATATCATATTAAACATTATTGTTTAGTAGTGAATACTATATTTCATGCCACTATAGAGAACGTATGCGGCTCTTACATCTAAATTACATACAATTTATGTAATTCTCCCATCATACGGTGACGGTTTAGTATGATAATTAATAGCGAAAGACGAATTTAGGTCGGCCATCATGTGCGTTCTCTCGTGGCGATGGCACGGAATATAGAGATAAATATCTTGTGGAAATATCTTACCTTATAAACTATTTGATAATATTTCAACTTTATATTTTTATCTTCATTCATTACATTAGAAGATTGAAAATCACATAATATTTCTAATGATTCATACTTGCTTGATATTAGTGCAGGTGGATTTAAGAGATATGGATATTCTAAACATATTAAAGTATATTAGTACATTGTATTTATTATCATCTATATTTAAAGTATTATTTCTTCGGTTATAATTTTTTTAATTACCATTTTAACTTTTTAGTTTTTTAAATAATCACTATTTTAACTTAAATTATAGGTAATATGGTTTATAATAACTATTTTTTTTTTACATTTTAAGTTGAATACAATATGTTTTACAACAATACACCTTTATAAGCAACTATAATAGCTATATAACTCGACTTTTTTCGTACAAAAATAACAATTATAAAATAGGACGCGTGTTTCTGTTTTAGTGTATCTTAATTAACGGTTAAATCGTCATTACTCATTGGTGTATCTTATTTTGTAAATTAATTTAACTGAGTTAGATAATCCACTTATGATGGATTTGATATAGAATTTGGAATATTATTGAACGTAGTACTCTCTAATTGCTCTCTAAATCTTTTTGATAAAATATTAAGAACAATTTGAAATTTTCATGACAAATGGTCAAAGAGTTTCTGAATATTAAAATACTAGTATAGGTAGGTACATTGGTTTATTATAAGAATGTATATTTATAAATTGTAGATCAAATTAAATAATAATGTATTTTTGTATTATACAGATTAAAAAATTGAATTTAACTTTTAATACCGTCCCATTAAAATGCTACTATGTATTAATCAATAAATAATATTTATTTTCCGTAGGCTTTAATTACTACATAGCGTAGAATAAACTTTCAATTTAAATCCAATTACATTTGTATAACAGAGCATTGAACAAACTTCACGAGGTTAATTAATTTAAGTTTTTTTTTTATCTTACTTTGTAAGCAATATGGTGGGATGTATTCTGGTGAACATCCATTTGTACAGACGCCTGTGTATTGATCACACACCCTGTCGTAACAATTCGGCGAACAAAATTGACTGCAATCAACACCAAATTTACCTGTTGCACAGTCTAACAAAAAATAAAAATAAATTACTACAGCTATATTTAAATGTTATAACTTATAAATTATAAGTTATAAAATTATATTTATACAGTTTAAAAACCATTTTAATGATATATAATATATTATCAAAGATGTATGTTTTTTATTTATTTAACTTACCTATATTACACAACGGACCAGTTAAACCTGGTGGACAAGTACATCCGAATTTCGTACACATGTACATACCACGACACATTTCATGGTCATGCATAGAACAAACGCCTTTACAATCGAGTCCGTATGAATTTGGTCCACATGCTGAAATAAAAGTTTATTGTTTATGTTAATTCAGATACTAAAATAATTTAATTATTTGTTCGCATGCGTTAATCAAGTTCGTTTATATGGTTAATTCATATTATTTTGCATACTATTAACCAAGAATACTTTATTTTTGAAATTATTTCCCTTAATTCTAAAGTCAAGTTATTAATACCGCTTTGATAATATTTTATAAATAACTGTGTTAAGTCATTTAAATTCTATAATATTTCAATTACCTGTTTCACATAGATTCCCTATAAATCCAGGAGGGCAAGTACAATTATTCATTGTAGGTAATTTGTATCCACCGTTTAAACATTCTGATTTCTGATACATACTCTCGGTTCTATTAAACTCTATATTTTTAAATAATAAATAAACAATTTATTGTAAATTATAATTTGTTTTATACAAGTATAAGTACCAAATAAAAAAATACAAGTGTCTGATCTACAGCAATTACATTGTACGAGTACCTATCTAACTATATGGTTATAATTATTCAATTACATTTCTTTTTGTTAACTTGTTTATTTTCAATTATTATTTATTATATTACATTGTAATTACGTATTATAATTTATAGCACTACAATAAATTTCAAATAGGTATTAGGTACAAATTATATAATTAATTAAATAATATAATCAAGGGCGCCCATAGAAAAATTCTAAGGGAGGGGGGAGAAATTTTAATTATGTCCTCGAGATAAGAAGGGATATACAATTTAACATTATACTATTATATTTTATATATCAAACTGAAAGGTTATGAAATAATAATTATTTAACCAATTAACCATAAAAGTTATTTATTGAATTTTCATTTGATTAATAACATAAATTTATCAAAATTTATAAATAAAAATTGTAAATTTCTTTTTTTTTAACACCAAATATATTTATTACTTGTTTTATGTATTCATTCGTTTTATCATCAATTTTTTCCTTATGTACGCTTATCATACATAATTCATCGAGTCTATCATCACTCATTATAGATATTGTGTAAAAAAATTTTCAACATTTTCTGGGGGGGGGGACATGTTCCTCCCTTGACTCCCATATGGGCTCCCTTGAATATAATCATAACTTATAGGTACTTATGAGATTATATGACGTTAACATACACCAATTATGTGACAAATTTAATTGATCAAATGAGAAATAAATTTATATGAAAATGTATTTTGCATATAACTTTTGATTCCAATTTTCAATTGAAAATAGAAAATTGTAATTAATATTTTAATATATTTTCTAGGAAAATATAAATGAGTACTAATAGAACATTTATATTATCGAACTGTAATTTTAACGTTACCTATTGGACATATATCAATAGTTCTATTGGTTTTACGTGGTATCTACTTGAAATTATATTTTTAAATGGTTTTTGAGAGTACTGGTAATACTTACTTTTATTGTTTCCAAGTATGTCAAATGACTTTGGTTCACCTTCAAAACCATGAACAATTCGAACGTCTTCTTCATCTATAGGAAAATAATGAAAACTATTAAGTTTGATTTAGAATCTAAATTATTGATGCTGTTAACACTTATACTAATAAGTAATAATCTAACGCGATTATGTAGATAATTAATTATTTATAATAGTCATGTCTTCAAAAATATTTCCAAAAAATACTGACGTTATTTTAATACCCCATGAATTACAAAGGTGTAATATTATATATAAACATTTTTGAACATTTTTTTTTTTTTGACATAACAGCGATTACATTTTAACAATTTAACAAAATATAAAATAGATATTTATCACATTGAAAGTCTTTGAAAGTCACAACTTACGAATTTTATTAACCATTTATCTGAATTAACATCTTTACTATGATATATTATATATAATAGCTATGTAAAATAAATTAGTAGTTACCATAATTTGAAGATTCAGCTATCCGTATTAGTCCAAACCAAAATCCATTATACACATAATCATACCGTCCTTTTTGATAATAATCATTATTCATTTTCATTTGCAACGATACCATATATTCTTGATTTTTAATGAAACTAATATTATTAAATGTTATTGTTCTTATATCATCCTGCAGGTAAAATAGATTTATGTTTAATTAATTATCTAAATCGTATGCGTTTTGTTTGGAATATAAAACAATTATGTATAATATTAAACTCACAAATTTTAATAATTTGGTAATACGTATGATCGAATTATTTTTAAATGTTAAATCCAAGTAAATATCCATTTTAGACGATACTGTATGTATATATGTGATTGATAAACCTGAACGAACTTCATCTGCTGTCCAAAGTACCGAAAATATTGTCGTAAAATCATGTATATAATGTATATTTTGCATTTCATATCTATACTCGAAAACACTTGTACAATGATCTAAAACCAAAAAATAAATATTAACATGTAATTTATTAATTATAAATACAACATCCTTTTTTAGGTCTTATAATTATAATTATTCTAAGATATTTAAAAATCCAAAGATAATAAGCAACTTAATACTAAGTTTTGTAGTGTAGTGTACTATTACTACCTACTTACTGCTATAATATATAAATTATTTTAAGAAAATACCAAGTATTTTTCTAGTTCATCGTCTAAACATAAATGTAATTAAAAACTAAAAAGATTTCACTATAATTAATATTTCATCACATTGTAGTAAACTCTAATAGAAGACATACATTTGTGGAAAAAGATAATATCACATTTACTCGATATTAAACATTTTTGAAAAAATTTTAATAACATATCTTCTAATTTTAAATAATATTAACTATACCACAGTTAAAATTTTTGTAGCGAAAATGTAATTAAGTTCTATCATATTCAGTGAACTCCAAAATGTTTTTGATTTTTAAAACAATATTTTTTTATTTATATAATATAAATTTATTCACTATGTTGTATCTTACTAAGTAAAATTATGAACTTAAACTTATTAATCAAAATTACCTTTATATATGTCTCCAAGATCACAATGTTTCCCTGTTTCGATAAGATAAAAATAAATGATTATATATTTTATTAAAAATCGTAGTAAAAGATGTTTGCAACTAATGAAAGTTATGTGTTTATAAAATATTATGCATAATACATACAAGTTAAAAATATGAAATATATTTTTAATATCTTACCAGTTAATGAAGTAGTGTTGATTTTCCAATTTTTAGGAAAATGTTTAAATTTAATTTGACTATTATTCTCAGATAAGTCATATTTTAAGAACACTAACTTATTAATTTGTGAAATTGACTGACGTGGATGTATCTTATGTGAAGACTCTACTTCTTCAAAAATTGGTAGTCCAATGGCATTTGTTCTTGAATGTATTTCAATTGAGTAGCTATTTTTTGAATAATTCTTATAAAAATCCGGGTCCTTGAATCCGACTAATACAGAAATGTAGAATAATAGTAATATTTAACATTATATATCAGTAATATAACAGTCATAGGTTTTTACAATTTGAAATTAAACTAAAACACATTTACAATGGAAAGTTTATATTACGAAGTACCCGCACCTATTCACAAACACTAGAAAACGAAATAAAATAATTTTTTCAAACAAATATTACTCGCTAGAAAACACGTTAGGTACCTAATAAATTATGATTAATAAAATAATCTATTAAATTAGTTACTTACTATATAAATTATTACATTTATTATAATATACATTATATACACTTATCCATTACCTATCTATTTTGTATGTATTATATTATATTTATATGAATTTTGAACTTCCCTATCTTCGACTAAAGTACTATATAGAGTGAATAAGTTAGATATTTAAATGAAATGTTAACCATTTTTTTTTCTTGGTGAACAGTATGTGTATAATATGAAATTATAAGGAATTCTTTATAAGCTTCTAAATTATGATTGCCACAACTGTATAATAGTTATAGTTCTGACAAAAAAAAAATAAAATAATTACATTATTATATAACTAGTAAATCCCTAGCATTGTTCTTAATCTATACATTAAAATATTCAATAAATCCAAATTGATTGATAATTTAGTAAAATAAATGAAAATTATTTTTATAATGTTCTATTCATAGTAGAAAATAATCGCAGTATTTATCAAAACATTTTAAATTTAAATGATATATGTATAATGCCATAATATTAACATCACAATAAACTAAATTAAATTGTATGTTGAAAATCTTTTTTTCTTCTAACAATTTACCTGATAAAAAGATGACAATTCATTTGTGGTAGTGGCGAACTTAGAAAACTCATACTAATAATGGTTTATTATACTCACGCAATAATAACAATACGTACTATAATAATATGTGCTAAAACGTTTAAATGATTGCCTATCCAATACTTCTTCCAAAAGTCTAGCCATTAATTACTTAATATTATCGAATATGAGGTGATTGAAAGGATGACAAATTTTCTTACATTCAAACGTTAAAGCACTATATAAATGCACATTATTTTTATTATAAAAATTAACGATAAAAAACATTAAACACAAAAAAAGTTTTAAACATTTTAAACATTAACTTTTTAATTTTCATATCCCATACCTATCTAGTATATTTACTCACTTAACCTTTTTAAAAATAATAATAATTTAAAACCTATAATCTAAAGATCAAAATTCAAGTATTCTATATGTATATAAGAATAACGAGAATTATAAAATAAAAATATTCACAATTGTCAGTCGTAACAAAATTAAACAGACATATAAATATTTATACGTTCAAATTTTCAAATGCAAATTACCATTAATCCTATTTTTAAATTTAAATTTACATGTTTTTAAAAGAAAAAAAAAATACATAAATAAATAGTTAACATACCATTCTTATATGTTTCTTTAAACTCATTTGTCGTTCTATAAATCGTAGTAATGTCATAATCTGTAGAAGCCACTAAAACAAGAATAAAACATAATGATAAAAAATAAAATATTTTTATATTTTTATACGTTATCATATTTAACATAAAATTAAATATTTATAGTTTTTAGAGCTCTCAAAGTTCTTGAGTAATAAAAACTTTAAATTATTAATACAATTTATTTTAATGTTATGTATATTTTTTTTTTTTAGAAAAATTAATCTTTTATATATTCTTATTCTTATTTAAATGTTTAGTTTTTCAACAAGGTGAAAAAAATTATCCTTAAATACAGTAATAGTTCACAAAACACAAATTTAAAACTGCTTGCAAAAATATTATATTTATTTATATTTTACAGCTGACTAATACAAATTCGACCATTTAGACGAGTCTCTACAGTTATTATTGCGAAAAGTTTTAATTTTTATAAGATATTATTTCACATATTTTTTTTATTTACATGCAAAAGAAAATTTGATTTTTTAAATTTTTTTTTTTTTATGAATGTCAATACATAAAGTTATATTAAAAAATTTCAAATTCATATTCCGAATTAGAATAATTTTAACGAAAAAAATTCATTTCGGATGAGTTTATGATTCATCATAAATACGCATAATAAATAACATACATATTGTACCGAATAGATACTTCGAAAAATATTTTGCTTCAATAATTTATAGATTATTTGATATTTTAATTCAGAAAAATAAATTGCTTAAAAATGATAACGATAAAAGGTTTTTGCAATGACATCAAATTATATAAAAAAAGTATTTAAAAATAAATTAAACTAAAAAATAATGAGAGTAAACACGACCTAAATGAAACATTTTGTATAGATATTTAAAAAAGTTATTACGTTGAGTAATTTGTTTAATAATAAATCAAAAATTTACTTCTAGAATTATAAACAATAATATATATTTAATAAATAAATAAGGGCTTTATAAAAATAATGGATCTTTTAAAATTTTTAAATCATTAAATCGTATAGGTATTTCAATATTTCAAAATATATTATAAATTTCTTTAATTATAAATACTTACTGCTGTTGTTAGAATGAATTATCGTATCACTCCAAACGTTCAAAATACATACGGAAAACCAAATATAATAATGAATTAAAAGTAGCATGTTATTATTATTTTTATATATCATATTATTAATTTGAGACTTTAGTTGTTAACTTGCAAAATAATTCTGTAATTTGGAAACAACAGTATAAACTGAATGGTTTGAAGCAAATTAAGCAACTAACTGTACACAATTAAGTACAAATAACCCACACGGAAATAAAAGTATAAAAATATTATTATCTGACATTTTTATTTGTATATGGGTGTATAAAGGTGAAATATCTTATAAAACAAATTCCATTATACATTATTATTTGTTATACACAGTTATCTAATACAATGTACAATGTAAAGAACCATGTATTTGTCCATTTTACAATATTAACTCGATGGGAATGTATTGACATTGGTCCACTCTGTATTAATAGTTTCAATATTGACACTAATAATTTTATTTTTATCGCGAAAATTAATGCAAATATAAAATATAATATTTTTCTGAGTTCATGATTGGAACAGAAATTGATTTGTACATAATTGTATTATAGTTTCAAGTTTCTATGTATGTATAATCATAACTAATAAATAGGAATTGTGGTTAAAAGTTAAAACACATCCGATCCCAACATCGTTCACACTATTATTTTTTCGTGAGCTTACGGAAATACAAGAATTTATATCGATAACAGTTCTGTTCTCAATCATTTTAATCATATTCAAGTGTAAATAAATTATTATTATGTATACAAAATAAAATTAGTTTTTTTTTATTTTCTTTAGATTAAATATATCAATATCAAATGTCAAAGTCAATGACAAATACCTTATTAACTCTACAGTAGAGAGGGTAACATATAATGTAAAAAAAATCACTTCAAAATACAAGTCTATAGAGTAATACACAGTTATTACGGATGTTTTATATTCTTCTATTACGAATAAAATTACAAATAACTATAGAAATTAACTTTCATACAATCCTGTCAGATTGAAATATAGAATTACAGTAGGGTCTCTGTAATTCGAACACAGGCTTAACTGATATAAGTGGTAATCCGAACGGGCTTGGAAATTGCCGCATCGCTATACTAATACACACTTGTATCATAATTCATAGTAATATGCTATACATGCACTTATACTAATACACACTTGTATCATAATTCATAGTAATATGCTATACATGCACTTATTAACTGGCTATTTAGTATTTAGTAATTAGTTATAACTATTTTGTCGATTATGATTGAATTCATTGTGTTTTTCAACAACGAATTTTATGAATTAATATTGCAGTATGGATAAAGATTAATTTCAAAATTTAAATTATAAGGGAATTGATTTTTTTTTTTTTTAAGTTATAAGTAGTCCGAATAAATCGGTAATCTGAATGATCCCTTTCCCCAATCTCGTTCAGATTAACGAGACTATACTGTATGTACATTGTTAAAATATTACATTTATTATAAGTACTAACGTACAGGGCGCATATAAATTCCACCGATTGCGATTTTTTAGACCGTTTTTCATGTAATTCCACTAGTTTGTTTTTTTTACCTGAAAAAAAAAATGTAAATTCTACCAGTACATTTTTTTTTTATTTAGATATTCGGAATTTACCCTTTTACATTTGTGATAAATAAATTAGTATTACAGTATAGGTATGATATAAAATTATTAAACACACGATAACAATAAAACAGTAGTAAGTAATTATAATAAGTAACAATAGATAATAGGTACATAATTTATGTACAGATATCTTCTTTATACATAGGTAATATATTTAAAATGTAGATGCTTATATCATTTTTTAAACAACATTTTAAAAAATATGTAATTATTAATAATGATCACTAGTTAGTAGTTACCTATTTTACTATCGATGGAATTAACATGTTTTCAGATCAAAAATACGTACCGGTGGAATTTACATTTTTTTTTTAGGTAAAAAAAACGTACAAGTGGTATTTACATGTTTTAAATTCAACCAAAAAATCGACTACCTAAAACATCGGTAAAATTTACAATCGCTCAACGTATATGGTACATATGAGGCAAAATTAAACCTCCTTTATGCGAAATAAAGCAAATATAAGAATATTTATAATTGTGAAAGAAATTCGGTAAAAAATTTAACTTCCCATGACAAAAAATATTTTTTATAGTATAATTTCTCAACCACAAAAACAAATAAATTCTTAAAAATGCTCTAGAAAAAAATTAGACATTACAATTTATCCTCTGACGGTTTTTGTTATCTCGAGATTTGAAAAATATTAATTTATTTTGTTACAATTCAAATATATTTTTAATGGGGATTTGACACTTTTACGTGTATTATTATATTTTACTAATTATAATAAAATTTTCAAAATATCTAGATTAATTTCAAGTTATTATCTATATATGTGACGATCACACCACTCATATTTCCATAAATATATATTATTTTAACAATAATTAATTAATTAGGTAATAATAAATGCCATATTATAGCTAGGTGAAAAATAATTAAATCTACAATATTGCTAGTCGTAAAATAAATTTTTAATGCTCGGTATTGACTTTAAAGTTAATAATAATTTATAGATGATATAAATTATATATATTATAATATTATATACAATTATAATTTTAATATTTAATAGTATAATAATTGTAATCTTTTAGGAAAAAAATAATGCAATCTATGGTATTACTAATAAAAGTTAAATACTTAAAAATAGTGTCATAAAAATATAATAAAATAAATAATAAGTAATAGACAATGTCTGACATATTGTCTTTGTTTAAAATTGTTTTTTGTAAGCAATATTTCATCATTAAATTCAAATTTAACGCTTCAGTAACAGTTGTCTGTTCAATAACGATTGACGAGGTACACTCGACATCTATTATACAGCAGAGTAAGTTCTTTGATTTTTTTTTTAGATTTAGGTGGGTCAAATCAATGATATGAGAAAGTTATTCTCTAGTAGATTTAACAAGAAATAAAAATGTTTTTAGAATTGTTAATGCTTCAATAAATCAATCTCTTCAATTCTTTTAAATTTTCATTTAAATGTATGTTGCAAATATGTTAGCTAAAGACAATATCACTGCTTTCAATCAATTTAAAATTTAAAGATGCCATGAAATTTATAATTTATCACAGAATATTAACGAGTAATACATAGACAATAGTTTTAATAATCAATAATTTATTAATATTTATAGATAAGTAAATGTTAGTAACGTTTTATAACAGACCGATTTATAATATATGCTAAAGATGATAATTATTAGAGATAAACTGGTCAAACGTATAATTATCTGGAAACTATAAAACTAATAACTATTATAAAGTTCTAAACACGATGCTGGCACCATGATTTTAAACAAATTATTAAAATATTCGATAAATCAGTTTAAAAAAAAGTCAAAATGGAGGGGATACCGTGTTGCCAGTCTTTCTTACCGCTGTAAAGAAACCATGAAAATACAGCCGCTAACATTACTACTTTCATAATATAAAAATTTTAATTAATTAGACAGAAATTCAAGATTTATAAAACATTATTTAAATGGATATTTTTTTTTCTTCGCGAGAAATAAAGATAATTTACTATGTCTTTTATAACACGCCTATAATATCTACTATGTCTGTATATTTGGAAAGAAATAAAACGCAGTTTATGAAAGTCCCCAAACTCATTATAAATCTGGTTTTTATTATATTACATAGGTATATGTAATATGTTTAACTCGTGTGCCTGTATAAATTTAAAATAATATATAATAATGAATTTCAAATCTCTGTCCACGAAATTAAATCTGGACATCTGGAATTAATACGTTTGAATACTCGATAGTATAACATGTTCATGCGCATGCGGGAGTTGTGTGCATTGGAATGCGAGAGAATGCGTTTCATAGTTTTATTTTTTATTATATATATATATATATATATACAATATTAACACACCTGCAGGATAGGATATAAAGAATTTCGATTGGTCGTTTCGGCTTACAAATATTCACCGTGTTTATGGTGATGACCTTCAAAATATAATTTTCATCGATGTTGACGCCAGCGTGTGAACACTATTATACTGTAAGTGATTATAATTATTTTGTAAATACGACTAAGGAACAGTCGTTTTAAATATTTAAAAAAAAATTTACTTTTAATTAAGTTTTATCACATTAAGTATAAAAATGTATATAATTGTACCAACAATTTGATGACATACTATGTAAACATAATCAATACGAGACTACGAAAAAACATTAGTTTTGCATAATATAAATTATTCAATCAATCAATTGTTGTATACATTTCTAGTATTGTATGTTAAATCACAAATACATTATTTGCATAGAGCTATAACTAAGTATAAAAGGGATGAGTCAAAGATCACTGATTTTTAAAAAACTTTTTTAAATAAAATATTTCATTTCAGAATTAAATTTAATTGATTTTATTCTTTCCGATTAATTTTAAAATAATAATTACTGCCAATTATTTTTTTTTTTCAATAAAACTAAAAAACTATCCACGTAGAACTAGTTTTCTACAACATATTGCAGTGTAATTACAAAAATTGGTAAAAATTAACTTTTTCCGTTTTCCATGCATCATTTATTTAAACGTTCAATTATAGACGCATAATTGTAGTAAATAAATCGTTGTTTACTAACGATTACACACTTACTTTTAATAAAAAAAATATTCTCGTATTATCATAATAATAGAATTTTAACGGCTTATACCTATATGTTGCGTGCGTCAAACTGTGAAACACATAACACATTTTATTCTCTTACAATAATGTAATATAGGTATACATAACATAAATATTGTAAGCCTCTCTTATAACAAAATGATAATTTCTTTCACACGCATGCTTTCGTACATCCCATATTTGTAATATTGCCAACATTTTATTTTTATTTCATTTCGTTAGGGTGAGTGTTGCATAGGCTTAAAAATAGATACATAATATATATGTAGTATGAATATGATGAAATAAAATAATTTATAAATAATTTTTAAACTTACGTACACTTAAAATGGAAATAAACGGTATACTGTTTAAGTGTATTAAAATATTTTCTCAGTAACCATTGGGTGAACGGGGCAGGTAGTTTTACAGCACTATATAGTATATAAATCGTAATAAATAAAAAATTTAATGTTATCATGGAAATTAAAATAATAGTTAGGTAATAATCACTACTAATATAGATGATTGTTTTATTTTTATTTTTAAATGATAGTTGTCTAACTAAAAATATATAACACCAGTAAAAAAAGAAATTTAAGCAGCTGATTTTATTCTCCATTATTTTAATTTTTTATAATTTTTAAAGGGAATTTTTCATCACTAAAATAATTCCAATAGAAATCATAAACTATTTTTTCTTATACTTTATTTTTATATTTATAATACCAGATAAAATACAATATTCGTAAATGAAATCCAATAAGTTATTAACTACAATATAATATAACAATAAAATAACACAGATTGTCATCATCTAATAAAACGTCGTCAATTTCAATTTTATATTATCTACTTCTCTTAAATTTGTATTTTATTTTTTCTAAGGTCATGTTTAAAAATAGTATTAAATAAATTTTCGGTTTGAAATGTATTTTTATTGGTTTATCGGAACATCAGTATCCGGACCCTATAATATGAAAATATAATATTATACACCAAACTTTAAATATTTATGTCTTTAACCTCGTACTATCAACAAGTGTTCAAAAGAAGCGTGAAAAAACAAACGACAATAATAATATCATCGCTGATAAACAATCAAGAATCGCCGTGGGAACAGATCACTGCATAATTTTGTCTGATTGTTAAGGAATTTAATTTGTTTAGCGCCATTATAGTTGCTAGCTCACACGTATTTATCTCTCTCTCTAAATGTCATGATATGCGTCACCGTATACCACAAAGTCGACCGCGTTGGAATTGTACGGCGACCGCAGTGCCTAACATAAGTGTTTCAATTTATTCGTGTGTGTTCCATTCATCAAACAGAATGTATTGTATATATTATATATTATATATCTAATATAGCAAAATAGGTATTCCGAAAAAGTGTTGTTCTTGTTATTCGTCACTATAATATACATACTACATAGAGACGGATAGACGTGCTGTAGAACAATAAAATATAATAAAATATTTAAACCAACCTTAAGAAAATTGGTCTTGTAATGAAATAAGACCACCGGATATCCTATTATATATCAACTAAAATATAATACTTTGTACCTGTATTATACTTTGGTCAAATATTGTAAATATATGTTTTTATGATAACGCGTACAGTTTTATAAAGTGGACTACAAGTCTATAGTAATATGAACCTCGACGAGTAATAAAATATGAACATTGACTGAAAAATGATAAGTTAATTGTTTACACGGCCGTTTTCAACTGCGTTCATTCGATATTTTCGTTCAAATTTCATTGATGGATTCAATTATTTGTTTAAAATATATGCTCGCAACTGATATAATAAATTAAACTATCATGTTACAAAGGTATAAAAGAAGAATATTATTATAATATTAATACTAGCATTTCGATTTCTTATGAAACATAAAAATAAAACCATTCATGATAAATATTGTGTTATTGCTGGAGCCATTTCGATCCTAAAACAAAAACAGAGTATGATTATAAATATTACAACCCAGCTATAATTTCAACCAGATGTTTTGGTAGGCACAGTGTTTATTCATGTCACGTAGACGCAACCAGGTCGCTCATCCTGATTCCTATTTCGTTTTTTTTTTTTTTTTTTTGTATAGCCACCAAAATCATGACAACAATAAATATTTAATATAATACCTACGTAGCTACGTGTACGTGTGTTACGCTCACAGTTGCGAGTATATACGTTTCACAGTTCCACATTTTAGAACCAGACTAATATAATATAAAAAGTAATAATACTAATAATAAAATAAAATGTTTTTGGATTTTGTAGTCTAGAACTGGGTATTATCATACGGGCACTATACGCATTGTACAATAAAGAGGGTTGGTGTATGAGAAAAAAATGCCTACAGGCGGGTCCATGCAGTCAAACGATTCCATGAAGGGTCGATAAATACAAAAATATAATGATAAATAAAAATATTTTTCATTACAGTCGCCGCCGCACCCGTGTTTCTCCATAGTCAAACCGGCTTTTTTCATCTTCGACCGTAAACACATAATAATATAATATATTATATACAGACAGGACATAATGCAATTCGACACAAAAACCTTTTGAACAACTGCGACGTCACAAAAGAAAAAAAAAACAAAAGCAAATAAAAACGAAATAAACGTTTCCATACATATATTTTGTACGAACAAGAACTACTCACATCGACTAAAGCTATTTATGGAACTACGTAGTCACTCAAGTATTATATACACTTAATATAATGACAATACCGTACATTCTACAACAACCCTAGTCAATGTCCCGCCATATTATACGCTATAGCACCCCCGCAGTCACATATTGGGTCTGCCAAAAATAAGCGGAGAGCACGACCTTAAATAAAAATAAATATACCCGCGTATTATGTGTTTATAACCGAGCGGTGTTAAACTCTCTCGATTGAACCTACATGATTTATTCTTGTTATTTTGAAAATCTAGAAAACTCTCACAGGTCAAAATTATGTTTATCTGAATCTTAAATTATGAACTCTACACAGTTGTTTTAAATTCTAAAATCAATGGAACAAAGAAACAGTGTCGTTAGTGTTGATGTTGAACTCGTTTACTTTTTATAAACAACCAATGCCATTAAATGGTAAATTAATTTTGAAATTTAAATGTGCATCATTTTAACTAATGATTATTTTTTATTTTATTAGTATCTCAGTTATAATCATTTTTATTTAATTTTATTATTTACTATAATTTATATAAGCACTTGGCTATTTTGAAATTTTTATGTCCATATTATTATAAATATTATATTACATTATATTATGCAAGATTACATTAAATTAATAAATTATAATATACGAATAAAGTTATTACCTAAAGATTATTGACCGTTTGGGAGAGTTTATCTTCTGGTCCAGACAGTCCAGTCATCTGGCATTTACGAGGGGAGATCAGAGATAAGAGGAATATATACCTCCTCTTGTTTCTTTTTTTGTAATTTATAAACTAAAAATATTATATGTATACTATATACACATTATATTATACATATTTATAAAAATAATGAATCGATATAATCTTAGTTATGTATTAAAATTAAAGATATACTTACAGATATTTATACATATATATATAACGAGATGAGTTATTCGATTCTGTCAAAACAACAATTTTTGTTTCAGTCAAAATAAAAAAAAGCTTAGATTTACGTTTTTGCTAAATCTAGTTTTTTAATAATGTAACTGCAATATTTTAATTTGCAATAGTTTTTACATAGAATTCCATGAGAATAAAAGTTTTAGTTTTATACTTTTTTA